TAAAACATTACTCACAATCGGCATTAGCAGAACACCATTTGGAAACTGGTCACAAAATTATGTTTGACCAAACCCAAGTACTAAACAAAACTAGGGCTTACTTTCCTAGAAAATATACAGAATCTCTGGAGATATACAAACACATCCAAACAATCTCAATAGAGACAATGGACATATGACTAGTTCACTATGTGTTTATGGCATTCCATCTTGCCATAAACACATCCTCCCCTCCTTCTTACCATTCCATCCCTCCTCCACCACACCCCTTCCACTTCAACTTAGCGCTATAAAAAGGGACACCTGACCAAGAGCATCTCAGTATCAGGCTGCTCTTCAAACCCTGATGAAGTGAGCTGTAATGTTCACGAAACGTCGGTATAAAAATGACACTAACGCGGTTCAAACTCGAAAAAACATCTTTGTATCTAAGTTAAATTGTTGAATTGAACTTCAAAAACTTGATTTAGAGGAGAAGAAATAAAACTGTGTTAATAATCGTAATGCTGGTTATGGAGCGCGCTCTCCGATGGTCCAACGCCTTATATATACTGATCTCGGGACGTTAAGCCTTTTGATTTTTGCCAATTGTCTTTAGATTTTACTCTCCCACTCTTTACTGATTAAAATTGTTTTTGATCCTTTATTTACTAATTTGACCAGGCGAGAGGACCAATCATCGACAATCATTCTTTCTGACTCACTCAACATTTGTTTAACCTTTATTATCTGCACGTGAAATTTCCTGTTTATTTTCGGTGCCATAACGTTCCTTGCTAGAGATTAGCGGACCGCCTAAATTATCTAAGTTTATATTTGCGAATTATTTCCGAACAAAACATCCGGGCTACTTGTTGACTAATTGACCGGTATACCTTTGAAAGTTGGTAAAAGTGATTACATAAAAAAATTGCGATACGGGTCTGTTTATCTTAGTTTAATAGATCCTTTGTTCTCTGCTCAAGGACTGTTATTTAAAAATTAATTCTAAGGCGCAAATCTTAAAGCTAGTTTATGTTTGGTTCTAAATAAAAGGGGACTGTGGAGTCCAGGACGTAATATGACATTTACTACCAAACTTGCCTAGTAACTTTGGGTTTTTGTTATTCTTGGAGTTATTCTTTGATATCCTTACTTCGAAATTTTTGGATTTTGAAGATTTTGACGCTGCTAGGGCCATCACATGACCATCATGTTTCTGCAACCGTTCATCCGTATTCATTCATGCATTATATAGCTTGTCAAGAGAGTGTCTGATCTACATCCGATCTATTGTCCCACGTGGTACAGAAGTGAACAAAACTTGATAGCAGACCATCCAGAATAATGGCAATTACATTTAGATCCTCTATTTTTCCTACCGCTCTTAATGCACTAAGTATTTTTTTGATATTACCGATGTAATCGGTCATTGACATGTCCGGATCCATCCTAGAGTTATGTAACTGTCTATACAAACTTAGAATTTGTTGACTCGATTTCTTCTCATAGAGTCCAAGGATTGTCTTCCACATTTCGTTTGCAGAATCACATCCCATGATGAGATTGATAATATTTTCTTCGACTGTCAAACCAGTCAATTTTCTTGCGCCTTTGTCTTTCTTTAGCCAACCGTCTAGTAGTTCCGCCTCGATTGGTCTAGTCTCGCTTCCATCCAAGACACCATCAAATCTCTTTTCTTGCATTACCAGCATTAACTGAAATTTCCACACCGAGAAATTGTCTTGTCCCGACAGCTTCTTAATTGTAGCTACTTCGCTGGTTGGTGTTGTCATTTTGATTGATAATCAAGTTATTCTTGTACACATTGTGACGTGACACTTTTTCGGCGACCGTCACAGTGTAATTAGCATGGCCAGAGAGGAGGACGATAGGCTCGCGTCTCTCACGATTTGGAGAGAGCGACCTATCTTTGTTGCGTGGTGCACTTAGATGCACCGATTTTGCCTTCGTGGTGCGTTCTGCACCGACTTTGAGTACCGTGCGCTGATGGACGAATATTTTGCGCGTATTATCGTGTATTGGCTATTTTATTTTAATGTAAATTGCATTGCGTGAGCCGCAGGGCGGCGTATCGTTTTGTGTGTCTGTGCTGTTTTGTTTTAGCGACTAGAGAGAGACTCATTATGCATCGACGTTAACCAAAAACAAAGATGAAAAGACAACTAAGCAGGAACGTACAACGTGGAGAGCAAAGTGGCGAGAAGAGATCGGTTATCGCATCCAGGGAGAGAGGATGAAGCGCAACCCGGACTAAGTGAAGGAAGTCGGAATCCGACTAGAGCGTACGGCCTGCCAACTCGAGGTGGAAGATTAGCCTTGCAAAGCTGGAGAAAATTCTTTACAGGAGTCGAGCGACGAAGCCCCGGCGCGGCTACATAGCCGCCCTTGGCAGGATAACGCAGATCCAAGCGGGTGGCGATCGATCACCGCGCAACGCGCCGCGCCACCTGATCGGTTACTTAACATACTGCGCGATCTGCCGTACGAAAGGAAATCTATGCGGTAGCGTTTAGCGATCACTGTTGCGCGTACCGTTGTTGAGGCGTGAGCCACCGGGGTAACCTCCTGAAAAGTCTTTCTGCCGCGGTAAAGTGCTGTTTGGAGGCAAGGGCCGGTCACCAGTAACTCGAGGAGGACCCGAGACCGTGGAGGATCGATATCCAGTGGAGGAGACGATATGGTTGCCGAGTAAGATCCGAGGCTAGCTGTCGACGCCGATAAGTGCCGCTAAGTTTCTCACCCCGGCAACTGCGTGTTGATATTGCCGATGTACCGCTCTGGTGATTTGAATTCTGTCGTTTAGTGCCGCGGATTCGACATGGAGGTAATCGTGACGAGCGTTATCGTGACATATCAGGTCTGCGATAAGAACTGCGTGTTTTGTCGTGTTGTTAACATAGTGTAAAGATCGCTCTCTCTCTTTTCTACAATCGCCGCAGTCCTTCGTGTAAATATTCTTGTCGTTGTTCCGTTCTGGTCGTGAAACGTAGTAATTGACTAATCGTGCCGTGTTCGTCTAACTTCATCCAGAGATGCCAGTTTGCGGACGCTAGCAGCATGTTCAGCAAGTAGAGAGGATACACAGACGAAACGCACACAGGCAAACAGCCATGTACGTGTGCGCTCAGTGTTTCGGCGAGTGGCTGCTTGTTTGTGTGCGTATCCCCTCCACTTGCTGGTGCATGTTGCTAGCGTCTGCAAACTGGCATTTCTGACTTTATCGTAATTGAGTGCGTGCGTACACTGCCGTGGATAGTCTTAAGTCGTACCGTTGTTTTTTTGACGCATTCCGTGCTTATTGTCATTACATCTGCTAGCGCGTCAGCGGCTGTGTGAGCCTTCGTTACCGTTGTATGTCGCGGCTTGCCGCCTGAAAATAATACTTTTCGTTAAGACCATTTTCCATTGTTACGGTCATATAAGGCCGTCGTTCACCTATGACGCGGGAAGCGTAGTCGACCAACGTCACATCCTGCAAGCGAACGACTTGCCGCTATTTTGCTATCTTTTTGAAATCGCCGTTTACCAGCTTCGTGTGCCGCCGTGTGTTGTCGACCGACTCTGACTATCCCGACTCGCTATCAGCGCCCGTGTAAACCGGCGAAACGCCGCAATATGTGTTTCCATTGTCTAAATATATTATTTTTTTGTTATTTTGTTACATTATCGGTATTGATCTGAGTTTCTTTTTTTTTACGCCTAAAAGCCGCCTCCCGAATCCCCGCCTCTCCGTTTCAGGTTCTGAGCTACCGAGTATCTTATTTTATGGCAAAATTGCCGTCACGTCCGGCGTAATTGTTGATATTGTTGCCGTGCGTTTGTGCGGCGTGAATTTCACGTCTGGTCCCCAAGTTTTCCATTAGTAAAATTCTTTGAATTTAGCCAAGGACGTGCCGAAGGTGTGTGTGACGCTCTTGTACGCCACCCGAAACGGGAGTAAGTTGCAAAAAGGAAAGTCGCTCACAATATATACGTCCAAAAACACTCCAAAAAGAAAAAAAGACTCACAACACAGTTAAAGCCAAAATACATGCGCAGGAGAAGCGTGCTGAGCCTAAAACTTAACCTATTGCAAATTACAGCAATTATCAAAATGTATTGATGCTTTTTGTTAGGTTACACAAAGGAGCACATATAATATGTAAAGTGAGAGAGTCCCTTTATTTAACTCACAGTGTTTTCACAGAATGTACACGTGAAACAACAAAAAATAATTTTCAAAACTCAAGTGCGAAAGGGAAGACGCACTTTGCGCGCAAAGCCGAAAGAGAAGAAGAAGCACATGTCGATAAAACAGAACAGTAATGTTGGAGACACAGCGCATGTGCAAGATAAAAGAAGCTTAGAACTTAACTCAAGAGCCATCTAGGTACAGGATACAAAGCAATCTTACTTATTGTTAATCTTCATATGTATGAACTATATATATATATATATATATATATATATAT